ACACACACACACACACACACACACACACACACACACACACACACACATACTTTCGGCGATAATGCCAGGCATCATTGTACGCGATATATATCATGCGATTCACATTATTATTACAAATTTGTCTCGTTCCATCGTGCCCCGCGATATCAATATACAGTGATGAACAATTTTCCATTTGTTGAAAACTACGTTTACGTCACTCACACGAACACCGTATATATAATGTACAATTATAAAGGAGGAGGAGGAAGAGGAGGAGAGTATTCTATACCGCGAATATAAGTGGTCCCGGTAAATGAGAGGAAAAACAAACAAAAAAAAAACCAATCGTAATACGTGAGTAACGTTGTGTTTCATATGCGAACCCGTTTACTTCGAACACACTGACTGACTACTGAGCTCTCTGCCGATAATAATCGTCTTCTATATTTTATAAAACGGGGGGGGAAAAAAAGCGAAGCAGTACGTTCCACCGGATATCCTCGACTACGTCGCGCGCGCGCGGTCGACGAGAGTCGAGTTCGATTCATGCTTCCCACAGAATGTTCTGTTTCGCTTCGCCTGCCAATTCTACGGTCGTCTCGCAAGAAGGGAAAGAGAAAAGTATGGAAAAGCGTGAAAAACGTTTCCCGAGCGAACTGCGGAGATGCGTGCGTGGAAGAAAAAAAAAAGGAAAAAACCATCACACACACACACACACACACACGGTGTACGGGTGTTTTATCATTCTTACTGCGGTATCATTCTTCCGGATAACAAAGGAGGAAAATACTCTCGTGAAATACATAGCGTTATGATCTATTTTAACACATCCCTTGCATTTTTTTTTTCTTATTTATTTTATTTTCGATCATTCTTTAACTAGCAATGTTTTTATTTAATTACTGTGCGGATATTTAAAAACACACACACATACATACGACGATTATCATGTACACGGATGCAACTTTTAATTTATTAAATTTGACGCGTCTTACGGAGTCTGTTTTGTGCTGTAATTTCCATTTGTATTCGCGGACGCTACCCGGGCGGCATCCAAGCAGAATTGATTCGCAACGAAAAAAAGAAAAAAAAACAAAGAACAATTCCCGGAACGATCCTCCACCGTACGCAGATCTGCCGAACGCAAGCCTCGGCGGACCTGTCGCGGAAGTTCGTTCCTTGACGATTGGCAGTAACTAAAAAATCGGATACACCCGGTGCCCCGAACTTCACGATTAAACGGGGAAACAAGCAATACGGCTATTCGTACGATTCGACGACGCGAGAAATTCGAAAAAAAAGTGCCTCCTTCACTCGCGCCACGATTAGTACATCGGGCACGGAGGAAACGATGATGTTTGTACTGTGCGCGACTTTATCCCGGCAAGCGGACCCGACGCGCGCTTTTACTTCGTAATACGATCGTCCATCGTCCTGCGTTGTTCCCCCCCTTGCAATTGCGCTCTTTCCGGTGAATCTCTCTCCGATGTGGTCTCCGACGACGGCGATCGTGACGTGAGTCTGTACAGTAACATGTAGCTGAAAAAAAAGTCTTTAGCGGGTAATATCGCGCGATGTCGCTTTCTCACGGGATATACGGCCAGTGAAATCCGTCGCTGCGGCAGAATAATGGCAGCGATCGCATTAAAACCACCGTTCGATTCGACACAGCCCGTTAGTGTTCCTCGTTACTCGTAATAGAAAAGGCGCCGCCGAGATCGAAGCAACGTCGAGCCTTCGCCCCGGCCGTCCTCGCTTGATCCCTCCAGCTCGTAACGTCGCTTGTAAAGATCAATTAGGAACTCGCGTATTAGTCTCTCGGGAAACTGCGCAGAGAGATCTCTGAAATTTTCCGCGGATCCGTTCGAGTCGTTGCGGATCGAACGGTTAAGATAATTATCCCGGTGAGCTCGATTAAGTTAAGCACGATGCTGCAGGCAAATGACGGAGGATCCTGTAACTGTAGACAGAACAGAAGACTCTACTAATGCTATCTGATTCCCTAAACACAGAGACATCGCAAATTTCCAATTAGGAGCGTTATGTGCTAATATCCGTGCGTCACGACGAATTATCATTGATAATTTGATGAATTGGCAACGATGCTCCTCCAAAGCAGCAGTCGTGGTGCATGAATATTCGAGAATAATGCGTCTAATTGGAAATTTTCAGTGTTACCAGATTGCCTAGGAAATAGGACAGCATTAATGGACACAGTAAGCAAGAAATCATTAACGTAACATTACAATATTTTTATAACATATGACGTTTTCAAATATGTAGTCCTCAATGTTACATACGTCATTGTTAACAATATTTGATCCAAACATTAAAAAATAATGTTTCTACACAATGATTTTAATATTTCGAAATATCAAGCGACAATTTAAAAATATTTATATAATTATGTCAAAATGTTTATAAAGTCCAACATAAAATCAATGTTTCAAAAGATTGATTTAACGTTCCTTGCTTGCTGAGAAGCCTTCTGAATACAACTGAATTGACAAGAGAAAGGGATGATAAGTTCAACCTAACACCGTTTCTCAAAGTACTCGCGAACTGCATCGAAAACCCAAGAGGACACGCATTAAATATTACAGATGACGATAGAAAGAGAGAGAGAGAGAGAGAGAGAGAGAGAGAGAGAGAGAGAGAGAACATATTCGCGTGTTTCCACTGTCGTAATACATCCCTGTGTGAGCTCAGCGGGATTGTGTTAATTAGAGTCGTACGCTTCGATGATTAAACGCGGATCAGATTCGCATTTGCTAGAATTAAATCGGCTTTGTTGGACGACGAGCGAGCTTAGGCATCGAGATCGCGCGCCGATAGATCGTCGTTAGATCAATATCGAGGCTCAACACACATCGTGTCTGCGGATTTCAACGACCGTTGCGATTCCGTCGTCGCGTCTAGAGATCGTCGTTCATACTGTGACCATATATAGATAACGATATATCTCGTATTAATATATCATATGTACAATACATATATATATTAATATCTCTAGTGCTCTATACATATAAATATATACATATATATATATATATACATATATACATAAATACATGAATATATATATACATAGAACGATAACTCTTACGTAGGTGTGACTCGCTGCTTGGCGTTAAGATAGTTAGGAGGAAATTAACAAACAATAACAGTAAACTGTGTATAGCTGTTGATGTACGAGATATATCCCCTCCCCCTCCGGCTCTCGAGCGGATAATTTTATTTGTGCGAAATAGATAGAAAAGAGAGAGAGGGAGAGAAAGAGAGAGTGAGAGAGAAAGAGAGAGAGACAAGCAGCCTCGAAGCGCTCCGTTTTCTTTTTTCTTGCGATAGATATTTCTCGCGCATAATGACACATGTAAGATTCGCGAAGAATGATCGAAAAGAGACGATCGATTGAAAGAGGAAACGGTGTATAATACAGGGACCCAATTACGAAGCATCGTCAGGGACTCGTGTTCCAATCGGCAGATTCTAAACGTCGTATCGACGAGCGAAACCGAGATTTATTCAATTCGGTATGCCGGTCGCGATCGACGAGAGAGAGAGAGAGAGAGAGAGAGAGAGAGAGAGAGCGTTGGTCCGATGCGATGCGTTAACACTTGTGAATTATATATACTTTAGGATCGGAGAGCGACCGGATAAGCATACTTGCGGTCTGATGCTGCCATTCTAAGCAAGTTTATGAGTAAATCGTGAAATCGTAGCTTACGAAGCAATCGTGACAATCGGACTTATGTTCGTTTCCGCCATCATGGTTTAAATATAATCAATATATATATAACAATTAACTCGACGGAATCAACCAATTGTATTAATCAGTCCCGTTAATTGGCGATTGAGTTGAGTTAAATGTCGATTAGATTTTAATCATGACGGTAGAAACAGGCATTACAGTTTTATTAAAACTGCAATTCTATACTGACGACTGTATATCGTTCATCGTCACACGTTCATGATTACGACGAGTGTGATTAATTTCAGATGAGTATAACTTGTCATTTGAGAGTTGCGCGTAAAGCAAGATCCGCGGGCCTTGTTCCGATTATTTTCAACATGAAGCACGCATGCTAATTATCAAGTTTCGCGCGCAGTTGAAAAATTCCTCATTCATATTTCCCGGCAGTTACCGAAAGATTGTCCACAATACTCATGACTTACTTACTAAAATCTCGCTAGCCGTAAGATTAACGAGAAATCGTAGATACTTGGCACTCAGTTTCACGCGCGTTCTTGAAACGTATATAATACGATTGATGAAACCTTAAATACGTTTGAAAAAGAACGGTTTGTATGTCTCGCGATGCGACAGCATCGTAGAATTACAGTTCCGCACAGGCAAGTTCTCACGAGTCGTTACTGCGAGAATAAGTTACGAGTCTCGCGATTTCGTTTAGAATTGCAGCGTTAGCGTCGGCGCCGTGCCTTTGCGCGTCAAGCCGGCCGACTTCGGCCGGCGCTTGATTCCAAGGCGATGATGTGCGTGCGATCGCACGACGCCGGGACGACGGGCCTCGCCCGGCGAAATTCTACCGTGCGGACTCTCGTCGGACGCACGCCTCATTATAATCGTCGCCGAGACGTAGCGTCGCGAGAATCCGCTGTCCGCAAGGACGAGCAACGGTGCGAGTATCGAGCGGGCGTCGTCGAAGCCGCGCGCGCGCACACGCGAATCGAATACGAATGCCGAGGACGGTGGTGATGGTGGTGGTGGTGGTGGCCTTGAAGACGAGGAGCGAGCGGAAGTCATGCGGACGCATGCGGCACGTCGGAAGGATCGCGTGATCTCCTCTTTTGATCTCAAGCGATCGGAATTACCGAGTCGCGCAACCACGAAGAAGAAGAAGAGGAGGAAAACGACGACGACGGGAAACAACTCTCTCTCTGTCTCGGACGCTCGACGAGGAGAGAGAAGAGGAGAGAAGCTTCGTTACGCACACAAAAAAGAACAGAAGAGGAAAAAAAAAGAAACACCAACACTTTTATTACGTGTAAGTCGTAACGTGCGAGATATTGTAAATACTGCGAGTAAACCCGCGCGGGGTTTTGCACATTTTTAGAAGAGCGCGTACTTCCAAGAATCCACGATCGGTGATTGGGGATCGTTGGATCAGCGTACGTTAAAAAAGAAAAGGGAGAGAGAGAGAGAGAGAGAGAGAAGAAAATGTATAACGACTACGCGAGGCGGGTCGAAAGGGTCCGGGAAAACGACGGAGCACCGCTTGGTCGCGCGAAGTTGCATAGCATATGATAAAACGTTATTATTATTATCATCATCATCATCATCTCACTGATTGGTACATAGTCGTATTGGTCGTAGCGTTAGAAAAGAGAGAGAGAGAGAGTCATTAAAAAAACTTTGCATGCTTAGCCGATCGCTCGCTCGCTCGCTCGCCGGCGAGTAGTCCGAGGACCCGCCGGCTGGCGAGGAACGCGTTTAATAAGAGTGTAACTATGTCGATAGAGGAGGCGTATGTAGGCGCCCGATACGTGACGATCATTTTTAGAAATTCACCGAGCCGAAACGGGAAACATGCGAGTGATCGTTCGAACTTAGCCCGGATGACGTGTGCGAGAAAAACGACTGGAGCATCGGGACAGGGAAAGAAGCGGCGAGCGTTTCGCTGCGCTCTTAGACAATATCCCAGATTAGCGCGATAAAAATATGCCCTTTGTCACATGCATACACGTACATACACACGTACACACACACACATACACACACACACAGCATCGTCGGCCGGCGATCGAATCGCGAGAGGACTGGAGAGATCAAGTCCGCTCGATCGACTTAGCCGCCTGATCGCGCCACGCACGAGTCGCGTGTACGTTGGTATGCGAAAACGGGAAGCCGGGAGGAGGAGGCATCGTACGCGCCCGGCGTACACACGTGTGTCGTCGCGAAATCTTCCCCGGTGAACCACGACGAAACGACCGGACCGTGATCGTGATCGACCGGGAATCACCTCGGTGGACCTCCGCGAGGTTCGGAATATCCGCTCTTTCCCGCAATTGTAACTTCGAAGTGTCGCGACAAAGTAGAGAGAGAGAGAGAGAGAGAACACAAATTTTGCTAGAACAGCAAATTGTTAATAGTGATAACAAAGAAATTTGTTACACGGAAAAAATAATTTAGCCGTCGTAGCAAAAGGTCGTTGCGACAATAATCAAATTTAGCTGGCATAACCAGATTATTTTGCTATATCCATAACAAATAGCAATGAATACTCTTAACAAATCATTCCGCTGTCCGGATACATTTATTTTGCTGTCACTGTATCAACAAATAATTTACTTTCTCCGTGAAAGAGACGAGGAGGGAAACGCGAAGGGCAAGCGCGACTGGACCGTTATCGTTGCTCGCAATTTCGATTGGGAAAACGCGACTCGCACGCGAACTTGGAAGTTACGAGACCGGTAAGGAGTTTTTGGTACGACGCGAACTCATCTCCCGCGCGAGGAAGTGAAATTCTCGGTCGTCGTAGGCACTGACCGCGTCCGGCAGAACAACGTTTGTTTCGCAACTGTTGAAACTGTTACGGCTCTTAATAAGGAGTATCAAGGCTCTCGTGATCTGTAATCGAGTAGAGAATACAGGCAAATAAGAGCCCACAGATAGACATATTTCGGTACGTATTGTCTGCATCATAACTAGCATAAGTACGTTAAGATGCGTCCTCGTGCAACAAGCATTTTGGTCGGTATATGAGAGATCGTCTGATGACGTGGAATCCCGGCGATACTCTGATGCGACAAATATCGCTGCTTATCTCGCCCGGAAGAGAGCGCGATTAATCTGGAATTATTGTAGCAATAAGAAGTCAATACTTGGATGAAAATTATGGTGGTAATAAAAACAAGCATGTTTCAAGAATGTTGTGCTGTTGCATCATAAAGCATACATTAAATGTGTTGCATACTACATTCAGCATTTTTGTCTATCTGGGCCAATTGTATTTCGCAATAAATATTTAATAATATCAATAGTCGCGTCCTTTTGGTCCCAAGTTTAGATCCGCTTCAGCGCATATCATATAAAAGACAAGCTTATTGAAACAAAAGTGTACCCAGATAGACATATTTCGGTATATTGTCTGCAATGGTGACTAGCATAATTAATTATTACGTTAAGATGCGTCCTCGTACAAGCATTTCGTCGGTATATAAAAGATCAACTGACGCCGTGAAAATTGCAGCGATATTCTATCATAAATATTGCCGTTTACTTTGCCCGAAAGAGAGGACAATTAATTCGGAATTATTGTAGTAATAAGAAGTCAATACTTTGATTGAAGTTATGGTGTAATAAATGAATATTTCTTAAAACAAGCATATTTTAAACATGTTGTAGTCTATTGTAAAAGCATGCATTAAATGTTTGCACACTATGTTTAGCATTTCAGTCAATCTAGGTATATTTTAAGTTGTAACAGCTGTTCTATGTTTAGAAAACTAATTCAATCTCAGCACGAAAAGCTTTCAACAGTTGTGAAATAAACGTTCTGCCGAATAAGGCGGAAATTGACTCTCTTTGAACCCCATTATCTTGAAGAATTGATTTGCCGAGCCTTCCATTATGGAATGATAAAAGCGCACGAAATTTCGTTTCTAGCGTGTCCGTACAAAGCGTAACGCACGTAAGGATGAGTTTTCCGGTGAATCGGAATTAGTTAGTATGATTATACTCATTTTACGCAAATAGAAGACGAATCGTCTGATCACTCAGGAAAAATATAGAATATGCGAGCATGGGGAGAAAAACAAAATACGTATTACAGAGATTTCCAAGTAATCGTGAAGGGATTCTACGTACTCGCGCGTCGGAGATCGTCAGAGAAACCGGATAACAGGATCTCCTGCGATTGCACGCGGATCACGTCTATATAACCAAGCTTCTCAAGCTCCTTAATGTATATAGAAATCGTTGCGCGAAGGAGTTCAATAGTTCTAATATATTCGCCAATTTTGTAGCGAGTCGCTCACAGTCCCAGAATCTGTTAATTTTTCATATTTGAGATCTTCCTCCCCCCCCAACCTCCCCCATAAATTCCGAGATGCCCCGGGAAAATGTTTGTGTATAATCATACAAAATTATATATAATTATATATATACGCGATTTGTATATTAATTTTATCTCTATATCGCTACTATATGGCTCATAATATATAATTATATATATCCACACGAAATAAAAATACTGTTGAATGAAAAACGGAAGAAATAATGATTCAGTTGTTTACATCGGGGGCGGCCATAAACGTAAGCGTTTACTTTAATTATATTAAATTGTATTCGACAGCATTTCGTAGACGCGAGACGTATATGATTATACAGGGACACGTAGGGACAAAATTCATGTACAATCGTTTTTTCTCCCCCCGGGGCGTTAATTCATTCATTCATTTGCCCGGATGTATATCGTACAAAGTCGCGCATACGAAATACCTGTATGAGACACGACGCCGTTGGAAGGAAGACTCAAGAACACCGAACAATGTAACCGCTGATGTATCATACATTAACGTCTCTTGTGCTCCAGTCGCTCGATGTACGACCATGCAAGGCGTTAACAATGCTCTAGAACATAAAATAGCGTTAACGAACCGAACGAATAAATGGATTTGATGTTTAGACGCTGCCTCCGTTATGTGCCGTGCCGCAAAAAAAATAAGTAAAGTAATAAACACACACATACACACACGCATACACAGGACAACCATGTACCCACCTCCCGAGATCGATATATATAATATATATATATATATATAATATATATATTATATATATATATAATATAAGAAATAAATTCGCAACAAAATAAACCAATCACAGTATTCTTCTTTCCTTTCATTCGTCGCATACGCTTCATCTACACTCCGAGGAAGGAGAGTGGCAGAACTGGAATCAATTACGAGAATCGTAATGTGCTTTTTATTCTGTATATCACAAATTTGTGTATCACCTTTATTGTCCCTGGATGATTACCGAGCTGCGGTCATACAAAGTGTAACATACAGTATACTTTTTTTTATGTTTCTTTCAGATATATTTGGAGATAATATTGAATGAAAAGTGGGATTATATGTGTGTGTGTGTGTGTGTGTGTACTTTGTGGTATTCGTCGTACAATTCTTATATATTGTCTGCCGAATGCCATACCTGTTATACACACCGCTCGATTACAGTGACCATACACAGTGCTCGTAAATATTTTTCGTGGGCTGATATATGTCTAACTGTGAAAATTATACGGGTACGGGTTAAACGCTCGGTCCCAAGGAAACGTGATAACGCAGTCATACATCCTCCCAAGAACGATATGATATGGAAACACAGGCTTATACGAGTGTCCGACAACAAATGAGACGTTTCCTTTTCGCAACAAAGTCATCGCAGGTAATTAAATAGTTTAAAATCAGATCGTTTTGGCGTCTATTTTCACACTCTGCTGATTGTTCGTTCGATCTTAATTGTTTGTATTATTTTCAAAGTCACTTATATATACAGATAAAACATACTGACGATAAGAGACGATACAAATTAAATATATAATTAAATATTGTTCCAATGGCATTGCAATAACGTAAAAAGGCAATCCTTTTTGCGACGTTAGTGCAATTAAACAATCTTGTATAAGAGAAGTAACAAGTTCAATAATTAAATGTTGAACCTCAATCTATTATCTGCGTCGTTAAAAAATTAAGATATAAAGCATTCACATCAATTTGCTAAATACTATTGGTAACTCGTAGAGCTCGCCTGAATCTTATCACTTACATAAATAATAATTATTATATTACATGGTCGTTTAAATACTAAATTCAAATACAATATTGTGTGTTTTATCATCATTGTGTTACCGTAACAAATTTCGTTGTTTGCACTTAATATCACCCTTTCATATGATAAAAAATAATATACAGGGTATTCATCGTAATGATTCCCACGATGATGCTTGGTGAATATTATGAATAATTCCCGATAACTCGACAGCGCAAGCACGACCATTGAAGAAGCCTCGAGGCAATCGTTACAGTGAATCGTGCACTTTGTATACGTAACAAGATTAAGTAGAAATTTGTCTATCTGTACATATGTCTAATACCAATATGAGAAAGTACCAGATCATATTAAATAATCTCCTCCGTCCGCTCACCAAATGTGTGTACTGTGTAATTAAAGGAAAATTACACGGATTACATTAACAGCACGGTAAACGTAATCCGTAATACTAATGGGGGCAAGTTGGTCTTTAGTCGGACGAATCCTCCTCAGTTCTGTAAATTAATAGCACTTCCGTTAATACTTTACGACCCCGACGAAATCGATTTTACTGCCCATCACCGTCGCCAAGCTGCTTTTGAATCAAGCAAGCGTCTCGGACAATACACTGCTGTTTGCCATATAAGCTAATACCTTAACAATGTATACAATGATGGTTATAGATACAATTGTGTAGATGTATATAAAGATTAGTGAAGCAAGAAGAAATAAATAAATAATACGAAAATGAGATGTAAGCTATGTAAGATCTTAGAGGTAAAATCTCACTGGGTGTAGCTGTGTATAAATTTTCTGCACAAACTGGCAAGGCTCACAAACTCTCTGTTTCTCCGTTTTCCTTTTTTCGTATGGTTACTCACAGACCATGAAAAATACACTAATGAAGCATATAATCACAAATAAATAGTACAAATATATATATGTGTAATTAATCAAAATAGATCAGGCAATAAGCGAATCAAAATCAGAAAAATACTGTATGATTGTTCGCGTAATGAATACAGAGAATTGTGTAGAAGTTCTCCATCATCAATCCGCCGGAGCAATGTTCGCAGCTTTAACAAAAATAAAATATATTCTCGTCCTTAGAAAGGTGTATATGTGTATAAAAGGTGTGTGTGTGTGTGTGTGTGTGTGTGTGTGTGTGTGTGTGTGTGTGTGTGTGTGTGTGTGTGTGTGTCCGTATTACAGATCTAATACTGATATTAATAAATATACTTATATACACCCATTTACAGAGGCAATGTAGTTGAAAGCACGTTGTCCAGCATACATTTAAACACACGTCGCACACAAAATCAATTAAATACTTAATATAGACCCGTGACTGGGACGACCGGTCTTCTCCTTGCCGTTCGTTTGCTCCCTGGCTGACCCGCAGACGTTGAGATTTAGCTGCGCGGTGGACGCCGTGGTTGCTTCGTCGTCCGAGTCCATCGGACTGATCCTGATGGCCTGGTACCACTGATTCGTCAGATCCGTCATCTGTGACTTGCAATCCTTCAGCTCCTGCTGCGTGAAACGCCTCGTGAAGAACGGAATGAAGAACTTCAGATCCCACCTGGCGAAGCCGCGAATCCGCGACTGCAGGAAGGACACCTCCATCTCTTCCTCCGTTAGTTCCGACAAGTGTTCCGAATCTATAGTTTGTCCCTACAAAATAATATACGCGTAAAAAAAATGTGAAATGTAATAGTCATAAATATGATTATCATAAATATCTAACATAAATATATATATAATAAGTGATATAAAATAATATTGATAATATAATATATAATAAATATAAGGATAAACACACATACATGTCTTATCAAGGAGCTACGTATAAGCCTCGAAAAACGCTCGAAGTTTGAATTTTCCTGCTGATCACATTATTAGCTTTATGAAGACGTCCTTTTGAAGGACGATTCTTCGTACTTTTATTTACATACTACACGAAGCCCACTAGAAAAAGTTGATATGTAACGCTGTTGTTACTGCTTACGTTACTGCTTTCGTGGCTCGTCATCGCCAATCGGTGACCCAAAATATCTCGGGAATTATTGAGCCGATTTAGCCATAATATTTGTATAAATATTCTTAATAAGATTATCCAGCCTTTTTCGTAGGATTTTTTGATATTTATTACAGCTTTCTTTATAAACGAAATGAGGAGGGATTTTTGGCGAAAAATCCGAACTTTTGACTTCAAACGTTAATGACTTTATCAAAAATTAATATGAAAAAAATCAGTTATACAATAAAGACTGGATTATCTCGACTTCATATGATATGTAAATAAAAGCATGGAGAATCATCCTGCAAAAGGACTTAATCTTCATAAAGTCAATAATGTGGCCGGCAGAGAAATTCGAACATCGGGAGTTTTTCGAGCCGATTTTCACGTAGCCCTTTAATTAATTGCGCTGTAAGGCAAAAGTATCCGATTACCCATTCTCTGGTTTTGCTCAATGAAACTTCCTTATCCTTCTTCTTCCTCCTGCTGCTTTTCTGCTTCTTTTCGGCTCTCAGGAACTTCAACAGGGGCATGGTGGAGCCGCCGAATATCAAGGTCGTGAACAATACGATGATGAGGGTCGTCGTTATAATAACGTGGCGTGTTTCGTCACTGAAGTTTAAGTGGAGCGATAACGCGTACGATATCGCGCCGCGCAAACCGCTGAACCACATGATAAACATCATTTTCCTGGTGATCTGGTGCTCGCGGAAGCGATTAACGAGTAACGCCAGCGGGAAGATGTTCGCGGCTCTTCCGATCAGGCACAAGATTAAGGACCAAACGACCAACGCTGGTTCGACCTGTTGAGAAGGAAGGGAGATGATGAAAGGATATGTAATCACCAGATATACGAGGTCTATTCTTTTCATCGAATTGGCTGCACTAGTTCTCGCATTAGTTCTCTTCTTCTCTTTCTTCACCGGCAAGTCTCAACTGTACGTCTCTTTTGAAATTTTACAAATATACACTAGTTCAATGAAAAAGGACAGATCTATGGTGTACGGGGCAAATACACTTACCCTGTGTCTGAAGCTAAATATCGCCAGTCCCAAGTAAGCGAAGACACAGGTCTCAGCTATGAAGGCCAACGTTCGCATCGTTTGCTGCATCGTGATCTGCGTGACCGTCGACAAGTTGAAATGCGTATAGTGCGACATGACTATTCCGTTGAACAAGATCGCCATGATTCCTGCGGGCAGTGAAGCGAGACGTGAGAAATGAGCTACGTTGATTTCTCGACTGTCGCAGTCACGCATCATTCCTAAATCATTGCTTCCGAAGCACGCAACAGTGGTGCAACCGTTGAGTAACAATTATCCACGACTGATGCGTGGATAAGCTAGTCTGTCGATCTCAACCATCTTTCGAAAGTCGCTTACTCAACCATTGCGTTCGCTGAACGCAGCCTTTGCATAATTCGGTCCGTAGCATTTCAGCTGAACTGGCCACGCGAAAACGTAGTCCTCGGACAAGCATAGCCGGTTCAGCCGAAGGGAACGAAGACCAATCGTTAGAAACGCGTTTACCTGACAGCTGTATGCCTTCCGCCAGAACGTACGGGGCGTACGTGAACACCAACATAATGCCGAACTCCAAGGACGGATTCTTCCTGAGGTCGACGTGCTTCAGCAGAAGCGCGCTTATCAGCGCGAAGACCACGCCGATTCCCGCCGACGCGAAGAACATCAGGCAAAATCGATTCAAGCCGAGTATGATCGCCTCGCTGGTGGTCGTGGCGTTGTTCGACTCCAGGACGGAGGTCGTCAGTACGATGGAGATGGCGTCGTTCAGAATCGACTCCCCGAAGACGAGCATGTTGAGAACCGGGTCGACGTCCAACGCGTGAAAAATCGCCACGGTGGCGACCGGGTCCACCGCCGATATCAGGGACCCGAACGCAAAGCTCTCGACGAAGCTGAGCTTGTACGCCACTTGAGCCAGGCCGAGCAGGTAGATCCCGGCGCCGATGACGAACGCCGAGATCGCTGTGCCGAATATGGCGAATACCATGATACTGCCGATGTTCTGGAAGAAGTTCCCCTTGTGCAGATTGTAGCCCGACTCGAATATGATGGGCGGTAGGAGGACGAGGAAGAAGGCGGTCGGCGAGAAGGCCTCCTCCTTCCGCCAATTCGCTATGTTCTGATGCGACATGAGGTTTATGATCATGCCGATCAGAGCGCCCAGGACGACTATCACCACCGACTCGGGTAGGTACTGGAAGTTCATGTGCAGCATCAGGTGTATCAGCAGTATACCCAGCGCGAGCACGCACAGTACGAAGAATATCGACATCGAGCTGTTGTGTTCCTCCTCCGCGGAGCCTTTGTCGGGTAGAACCGGCTCGGCCGGGGCGACGGTGGTGGTGCTCGTGTTGGTCGTATTGCTGGCGTCCGGGGTCTGCGGCGACACTGCCGGGACGTCCGGCGCGCCGGTGATGTTTCTGTCGCCGACCGGGCTCGGCGACGTGCCGGTGATCTTCTCGGTCGTCTGCTCGCTTGCGACATTCTCGGGACGCGCTGTACTCGCGGACGGTGCTGGTGGTTTCAGGGTGGTCGAAGTCGGGCTAACGTTCGAGCTGTTACGCGGAACGGTGCTCGTCGTCGCGCTGATATTCGCCGCCCGCGTGCTGGATGATTCCGGGAGCGAAGTGACGTTCGACACGGCCGGGCCGTCCGTCACCGCGAACGTGCTCTTAATGTCGGTGACATTGTCGCTTTTGAGGTTAACCGTCTCCTCGCAGCGCGACGCGTGCCACGATACGTGGCACAGCAGCAGAACCGCGACGACGAGGCTACGGTTGCACGACAGCGGGGAATGCCGAGACGTCGTCATTGCTTCAACGACGATCTACCATCGTCACTCGCAGGTAGCAGAAGACGGAACTCCTTGCAACTTTTTTTCTCTCTCTTTTTCCAGGAGAAGACGAATGTTTCGCCAGGCCCCACCACTGCGTGTCGCGCGAAGTTCGACGTGCGACCGATGAATTGGAGCGTTCGAGACCGAACGTTCCAGCGTGCAAGCACGAGTGTGAGAAAATTCCCTATATTGAGATTAATCTCATTGGCGGAACCCTGGGGAATTCGTGCCCGCAGATTGACACCCAATTTGCGGATGGGACGTGTAAATGTTGCGCATCGACGATGGTAAAGGGGACACGTCATCGATTATAATTAATTGGGTCATTATATTGCGTAAACTAAAATACGAGGTGAGACGTATTCGTGGATGTACTCGATCGATGATGCATAGATTAAATAATACGTCGGTTTTCTTTTTCCCCCCATAGTTATACCGACGAAATGAAACTCGTGATCAAAATACAAGTAAAATGGAAATTGTCGATTTTTATTGTTGTCCTCCTCCCGCAATTTCGACCGATTCTCACCGCGCTTCGCTCTATATTTAAGCGATTGTGCACTCGACAGCTTGAATATTAAGTTACTTTTGTATCATAAATATTGTAATGATATCACAATAAGTACTCGTAGAAATATTACGTAGCATTCATTATGTTCGCTCGGCTGTATTTAGAGGCTCGTTCGTGTATTGGCATGCAAGCCCGGTGCGGCCAATTTCCGCCGGTCGTACAGGATCTTCGCCTAATCTTTGTTCAACGCCCCTCCAGGATCTTTCTTGCAAATACTGAGCCCCGGCCATACCAATAGCAACGGTACCTATCAGAGGAATCGCTGCGTTAAAGTTCATATCGCTAGAAAATAATTCTGAATTATTTTCGAGCTAATTTCACTTTGAATTAGTTTCGAGCTAATTTCATTGATACAAAAATTACGTAGAACTTGAAGGATTAATTATCGCGAGAAACTAAACATGAAAATTCACACTCTTCGTTGGAAACGTCCCGTACATGCGTCTAAAAGACGTCTCAAAGACGTCACTCGGACGTCTTATTGTTCTCTAGGATTAATGCAATATCGAAGATGCAATTTGGCATTCTATGTTCAATAATCTGTAACTTAGATAATCTTGGTAACTTAAGTAGATGTGGTATACCCGATGAACGAATCGTCAGAGTGTTCATTTGGTCCGCAGACAAGCCGTCATCCTCGCAATTTCTGACGTCGCTGCTGATGAGAGAAACGTCCGAGTCCGTCGACGGCTTGAAATCAACGTGGTGAATGCCACCTGGCAATATCTGCCGGAAATCCATGAAATAATGCGGACAGAACTCTCTGGCGGTATTAAACGCTAATTCGACTTCGTACGGTGTGAGCATAGGTCGCAGGAAATCTCGCGAGTCGAACACTTCGTTCTCTGGGCAAGCTATCACGACGAAAGCGTCAATCTGAAATCGGAGAATCACGTTTGTCAATGTAATTATACGGGAAACAGTGAGATTGAGTGAAAGCTAAGTATATTCTGCTGTATCCGTGCAATTCGTCGACACACCTCTGGGAAATTTGCCAGTTTGGCAGGAGTAATTTTGCCTATGCAGAGGGTGTAAGTTTTCTTATTCTTCCGTTTAAGGGCCTCCTTAACTGTCGTTATAGCCGTCAGATATTCTTTGATACCCAATGTGGCCACGACGATGCCCACAGTTTTGGCATCCTTCAATTTTTCCACTAAAAACCTCCTTCGTTTTAACCAGGGCGCATTTAGCGCTTCGAATTCGCAAATTTTATTATTCGTAAAGCAATACCATTTCTTCACCGGTATGCTCATTGCTAATATCGCAAGGGCTTTTCCTTCCTCCCCCAAAAAGAACCCCTCGTAATCTTGTATATTGTACTCTTCTTCCAATGTGTAACTTCTACCTAAGATAACTCGGTCTGGGGTTGCCTTTGCATCAGTATATTCCACGTTTGATTTACAATTTAATTTGGAGAAAACTAAATGCTCATACATAGGTTTCAATATACTATATATATATTCTGTAAAAGAAATTATTACATAACACATATTACACATTTAGATATAACATTAGTATTGGATAAATGGTCCTTGTAATTTACGTCTCGTTTATTCTCATTAAAACGACATATTAAATAATTTCATCAATCGCAGTAAACCTTCTCCCTTTTTCAACAACAGCTTACCAATTTTATGTGCGTATTCCACATCGTAGAAAAATATAATTCTGCTTGTGTTATCTTGGAAAGTTTGCTTGAATTCATTATCAAGTTTCTTTATATTAAACTGCTGTTTTGGCAGGATGTGTAAGACTGGCAGACGAATAGTGGGATTAAGACAAGCATGTCCAAAATGTATTATACCATCCGCATTAATGTGTTGAGCTGCTATTTCATCGACGCAACAGCTGCCACAGGTTGTATCCCCTAAGATATATACTTTCTGTCCTATATTCTTTTCTAAATGCAGCGCAACTTTCACAGAATCTGCTAATAAATTATCTGGGAATTGTAGACATACCTGTAGAAGTAATTTAACAAACATAAACAAATAGATATATAGCTAGCAACAATTAACTATACAGTTATAGCACCACATATATTATACATAAGCAGAAACAGTGAACCTAATTTTTGCTATTATCTGTAAGTGATAACTGTAGTGATGCACATATTATTGCATTATATTGAAAAGAAATTGTTTATTTAAAACTCGTATTCAACTCACAAGAAATATACAACTATTATATCGCTCGTAGAAAGTGGGATAATTCGTCAAGCCGCATTGATAACAACACATAACCTCAATTCACAAAATTGACGCGCAGTTTATAAAGTATACGTGATAAGCGAGGATCGTTTAAGGAAAATCGCAAATATGACTTTGTTAACACGTAAATAAGGTATTTTTAAGAGCGCATATGCTTATGGGAACCTGTTTTAATTCATTCTCCTGGATCCACTGCGCGCACTTTTCTACATCATACGGGTCATCTTCGGCGCTCGTCATCTCGGCAACTCCTCGCTTTTGTAAGCTCTTCCGCCGCTAAAGAGATTACCCCGAGAGAGAGGAAGAGGGAGAGAAAAAGAGATATTGGATTAATTAATCGGTGCAGAAATTGTTTACATTTGTCAAAGCACTGCGATTCTTACAGCGAGTTTTCAGCGAACAGGTCACAGGTCACGCACTTCTACAGTTGTGTGCTTCTTGGCTCCTTTCTGTTGGCTCTCGCAGATCAGCGTGACATGCGACGCGACGCGCGATATCCAATGAGCGTGCAATTCTTCGGGGAAAGCGGTACGCTCATTGGATATCGTGCGTCGCGTTACGTGCTGGCTGCGAGAGCCATTTCCGAGTAGCGCGCGACTCGACCACCATAGAAACGGACCATGACAAATCGATACTCGCACCTACGTGTCTATGTATATTCATATATTATAGGTTTTGGTCGTGGTATTTAATTTTGATTTTACCTGACACAATAAACAACTGTTGTTCCGCCGAGTATGAAGAGCGTGCGGTCCCCGAGACGCGACGTTCAATCCTCGTGGGTTTCTTTCGGTATTACCTGTGCGTCGTATCAGTCGGAAGCATGAACTCGCTGTGGACAGACGCCAGAGAAGAAATTCTGGTTTGAACGAAATCGCAGAAATTTTTATCCCACGGAATGTGTTAGCCATTGCTGCATCGGCGACGATGCACGTACTCTCGTGTTCCGCAATTTCCAGCGGATGTGCGGGATATTGGTCCGTATGACCTTGTCGGGAACGCGAAGTTCATTAGTTCGAGTGTGTATAAGATGCATTTGATATAGCATATTTCGAATTCCTCGCGGAGACGCTGCGAAGATCCTACGTTTCCGCTGCGGAAAAGTGGTTAATCAGTGATAACAAGGCTTACGTTCGTGCGCCCGTCGTAAAATGGTTTTAAATCGCAACGACAAGAGAAAGAAAAAAGAGGGAGATCTGGTGGATCTTATGGAACCACTTTCAGAATCTCCGAAAAGGTAAAGTTGATATGAATCATTCGTAATTGTACGTGTTGCGATAGCTAACGCTAATAATTGACAGGAGATGAAATATGATTAGGTAATATGTTTAATCTCGCATTGTATATTTGTGTATTTGCGACTTCTTTCTGGAGATGTAAGGAATTGATTTACAATTATATATTTATATTATTGTGTATGTATTGTTGTATACTCTCTTCAGAACCAAAGTTCACGCGCAAAGAAAATTTGCACAGGGTGCAAGTACATCGGCGTTTAACACATCACCCACACCCGCTAAGGATAAAGAGAAAGTAAAGCCACCGCAGGTTACAGAATTAATAACGCACAAGCGTCCGAATACGGAAGACTTCTTAACATTTCTATGCTTTAGAGGTAAAATGATTACTTAAAGATGATATCATACCTAGTGGAAATATTGAATTAGTGACTTATCTTACGAAGAAAATATGATGTATCGCTTTCAAACAGAAGATTTTACTAAGTTCTAGAGGATACGTACAATGATTAATTTGTAGTTTCTGCGTGTACATATGTGATTCTTATTAATTATTAGGAAAGTACAAACGTGGAACAAGTGTCTTTCAATATAAGAATATATTCTTTGAAATGAAATAATGCTAGTTGAAAAAAGAAACAGGGGAACTATTTGTAGTGAGTTGCGCTACATACTTTGTTCAATTTAACTCGCGATACTTTGTCGTCGTGCAATTAACACGAATCATCTAACAAACTTCTCCTTTCAAATTTAGGAACGTCTATTTTGCCACCCAGTTTGAATTTCTTCAACTATAGCACGACAAAAAATAACCTGACACCTAGGTCCAGTAGATCTGTACCAGTTCATACTCCCATAGACAAGTTGCTTTCTACCGCTGCTGATGCTGCCCCAGGGACTTCGAAGCAAGAGACGTGTCAGAAGAACGTGACGAAAGTGAAGCCGGTTGTCCCGGTGAAGAAGAAGATACCTAGTACGATACATAAAAGCATCAGCAAGCTGAAAACAGCCACGTCTACCGTTCAAGCGCTTAAGAAGAAATATCAGGAGCAACGTCTCGCTAAGCAGAGGATAGAGAACAAATTGAAAGCCACTTGCGTTATGAGAACAAGGTCGTGTACGGAGAGAACTACGTTGAGTAGCGAGGTGAAGTTGCCGCCGGAGAAGTACCTGCCTCGAATCGAGACTAAGAGACATGGTTTGAGAAGCGGTTTGCTGCTGGATAAAACGAGCAAGCTTCTGCCGAAGACGAAGGACGCGCCTGCCAAGCCGAAGAGAAGGGTTAACTTAAGATCGAGGAACAGCGATACCTCGAATACAGATGAGTCGTCCGAGGAGGAGGAGGACGACGAGGAAGGGAACGAGGTGGATGAGTCGCAGTCGGAGAAGGCGACGCAGTCCCAGGTGAAACGCAACGTGCAGAAGAGCATTCAGAAGAAGATCTGCACCAGAAGCAAGTCCGACTTGAGGAGAGTCACGAGGTCGTACAGCGGCACGATCTCCCCGAAGAATCTCTCGACGAGGCCCACCAGGAAGACCAAGGAAGCGGCCGCCGTGTACATGGAGATCCTCGGGAGGAAACTGGTGAGCCCGGAGATCGAGAACGACGATAACGTTTCGGTCGAGAGTTTCCCCGAGCTACCGAATGCCCGTAAAGTAACGCAGACGGAGAGCGACGTCAAGGCGAAAGCGACGACGAAGCAGACGACTGCGGGCAGAACCGTCGGCAGGAGCAAGGATTTGAAGGCTGCTGATTCCGACAACGGTAACAAGCGATTGGACAAAAGCAACACCGACAAGGTGATACAGCTGAAGAGCAAGCGTATCATAAGAGTGCAGAGATACTGTGAGGAGGACAGCGAGGAGGAGTCCGAGAGTTCGGTGGAGATGAGCAACACGAGGCCCATCACCCGGCAGAGTCTCGGCAAACTCGAGAAGTCGGCCGACCGATCGGTCAGCAGGAGTCTCAGATCATCTTCCAAGAACACGCCCGTACCGCCGGAGGAGCCGAGCGTTCCGAGCAACAAGCCGAAGGTTCCGGTTCAAAGTTGCGCGAAGCCCGCCGGCGAGAAGCCGTCGGTGGTGAAGCGCAAACGGGATCAGAGCGTGCCGAAGACATCGTCGTCAGCCAACGGTCCTAAACCGAAGAGCTTGAAGATCGAGCAAAACGAGGACGCGGAATCGGAGGAGGAGACGCTGGGGATGCTGCTGAGCAAGATGAAGAAGAAGAAGGAGAGCAACGAGGAGAAGGAGCAGGTCGCCGAGGATATTGTCGTCGATACGAAGGACGACGCGGCGACGAAACCCGGCGAGGCGCAGAGTACGAAGATGGATCTGTCGAAGGTGTCGGACGATGAGGAGTCTTTCCGCGGATTCACCAAGAAGGCGATATCGAAGGTCTTGGACTCGTGTCAGACGCACGCCAACGTCAATCTGCTGGTCGGCGAGAAGCTCAGCTACGCCAAGATGCTGGACATGACCGAGGCTGAGCAAGGCGCGAGTTCGCAGAAGCCCAAGGAAGAAGTGCCACTAGTCAATGCCGACGTCTCCGTCGCGAGCTTGCCGAACGACGAGCGCGGCAACAGGGTGTCCGTGCCGAAGCCGAAGTCGACGATAGACTCGTCCCACAAGACGACCCACGACTCGTCGTCGTCGACCGGTCAGACGAGCAAGAAGTGCAATCACGAGGACGAGGTCTCCCCCGATCTCATGGAGATGCCGTTGTCGGCTCTGCCTCACACCAGGAAGGAACGGGTGAACATGTCGACCGAGCGGATAGAGAAGTGGTTGAACGAGAGCTCGCTCGCCAAGGAGGAGAGCAAGCTGGAGATGGAGAACGTCTCCATATTCAGGTACGACTCCGGCGAGAAACTGAAGACGGACGTCTCGCACCTCTCCATCCCGACGAAGATCCAGCACCTGGTGCGCCCGGTCAACGTCACGCTCTCCAAGCTGATGGACAAGACCAGCCTGAAGGATCGCTTGAAGATGCTCAACAAGAGCGCGATACTGCTCAAGCCCGACACGGTGCACACCGGCGAGGCCGGCAAACCGCCGGCTATCGTTAGCGCCACCAAGAACAGCGTCTACACCGACGCGAAGCCAAGCGTCTCCCCCGTCGAGGACAACGATCCCGGCGGGAACAAGGTCTGCGCCGACGCGAAGCCAGCCACCTCCATCGAGGACAGCAAGACCTGCGTCGACGCGAAGCCGAGCACCTCCCCAGTCGAGGAAAACGATGCCGGTAAAGGCAAGACTTGCACCGAGGCGAGGCCGAGTACCTCCTCCTTGGCCTCCGAGGAGAAAGACACCGGTAAGAGCAAGCTCGTCTGCACCGAGGCGAAGCCAGGTGTCTCCCTCGCCGAGGAGACGAGGGACGACACCGCGTCGAAGTTGGATCCGAAGGAAGAAAGCCCCGCGGAAAGGAGGAAGGAAGAAGAGAAGAAGTCGTCGACGGAGAAGAAGATATTTCAACCGCGCAAACCGTTTTTACCGAAGGTCAAGGAACGCAAGACCGTGACCCCGAACGCGAACGCGTTCTCGCCGGAGAACGAGAGCAGCGTGTACGCGTTCGAGAGCGACACCGAAGTGCCTATTAGCACACCCTTCAGGAGGAAAGTCAGGGAGACCGCGAAGTCGATTACCAACAAGCCGGTCGTGAGATCGATCGTGACGTTGAGCTCGATCAACAAGCCGGCCGTCGGGCAGATCATGACGTACAACCCGAAGCCGACCGCGGTGGTGCCGGCGGTAACGTCCACGGTGACGTCCGCGGCAGCGTCCACCTCGAGGTCCGCTATGGTGTCCACGGTAGAATCGACGGTAGCGTTCACCAGAACGTCCACGGTGACATCCACGGTGGTGTCCACGGTGGCGTCCGTGGTTATCTCCACGGTGACGTCGACGGTGACGTCCACGTCCAAGGCAGATGAGACGGGCAAGCCGATCGTCAAGGAAAGCCCTCCGAGCAGCATCAGCGAGCAGTCGACGAGCACGATCGAGGCGCCCGCGCTGAAGAGCCAGGAGATCACGGCCGAGCCGATAACCGTGGCGGACACGGCCCTGGACTTGAACAAGTTCAACCTCGGCATGGCCAACATTCAGGTGTTGCCGCTGAACAAGCTGATGACCAACTGGAGCAACGACAGCTCCTCCATCGCGGTGCAGGTGAATCTGGGTAAGAGCAAGCAGGAGCAGCAAACGGAGACTGACAGGCAGGAGAAGGAGAAGCAGGGGAACGACAGGCAGGGGAAGGACAAGCAGGGGAAGGAGAAGCCGGGGAAGGACAAGCCGAAGAAGGAGCCGAGTCAGCAGCAGCAGAAGAGCACCGAGATATCCACGCAGACGGAGACCAGCAATGACGAGGAGGAGCAGTTGTTCTACATACCGTTGCAGGCCATCACGAGGTCCGGCCCGAACCTGCAGAGACGGCAAGTGATACAGGGGGTGGCCGTTAAGCTCGGCACGGAGGGACGGGTCGGTTCCAACCAGAGGGTGCTCCTCCGGGCGAAATTGGTCACCAAGTCGCCGTTGTCCATAGCGCACCACCCGACGCCGGTGGGAACGGTGCAGCCGACAACGCGCGCCCCGCCCAGTTCCGCCCCGGGTGAAGAAGAGAACGTGTCGTCGACGACGCCCTCGTTCGTTAAGATGGCGGCCACCACGTCGGCTTCGGTAGCCATCGCGTCGGTCGCGACAACGTCGCTCGCGCCGGCTAAGATGACGACGACCGTTTCGACCAAGGTGACGACGACGACGACGATGACCACACCGGTGGTAGCGACCACGTCGAGCGTGGAGGCCGCGCGACCGGTGTCGCCGGCGAAAAGTGACGTGTCGAATTCGACTCGTAGCAGCGTGAACATGTACAATAGTTTAGAGAAGCTCAGGAGGTCCCCGAAGTCGTCCAGGGAGAGAAAGGCTTCCGTGGATTCGGCGAAAAGCGGAAAAAGGTATAGTTTATATACGTCGTATGTCTCAGGGTTGCTACGGACCTGGGAAATCGGGGAATTTGATATCTCAGAGAAGAGTCAGGGGAAGGTGTGGAAAGACTTGGAATTTTCAACTTTGCTCACAGTTTCCTTCAAATGCTCTCAACCGTGTTTTCCGAATATCCATTTATTTTTCCTGAATTTCCACGCTCAGGATTACATTATGTTAACTAAACTTTCAAGTTTGCCTTGCTTTTAATAATGCAAATTATCTTTCCTGCAATCCCTGCTTCTAAACGTTCAAGTGTAAGATCACATATTACTCGTGAAAAATTCTCCATTTGAGAAAATTCATTTTCCGTGTCAACCCTGATATCTGCAATGGGGAAGGGCGATATCTTTTTTGTATAAAATGGTTCTACGCGTTACGCATGACACTTTACTCATAATGCAACATCTTTCAGAGCGAAGTACAAGCTGAAAGGATCCGAGTCATCCTCTGCAAGCAATAATACGACATACTCGAACATTAAGGACGCGTACGATGAGTACAGCTTTGTGCCTCAGGCGCCGACGTTCCGTCCGTCGGAGAAGGAGTTTTTGGATCCTATGGAATATATAAACAAAATAAGACCAACCGCCGAGAGGTTTGGAATATGCAAGGTCGTGCCCCCGGCGAATTTCAAAGTAAGTGTCACATACGGCATATAAACGCATATTGTTACATAAATAATATACGGTTGTGAGCTTAAAGAATCTTTTGGCATAATTTGTTAAGCGGAAAGTTGGTAACGATGGAAAAATTTATCCTAGAATACAGTACTTTCCATAGTGCGGCAAAATATGAATTGTCTCAGTAGAAGCAACTTTTGTTAACTTTAATTGCCTTTGAATAATTAAATGTTTTAAATGTTTAAACAGTTAAATGTCTCGGCACACATAATTCTGTCTAAAATTACCAGAGTGGTAATTTGCTAATTCAATTAAAAGTTAAATTAAAGGTTAAAAGGTGAATAATTTTTAACTTAGTTAAGCTTAAACGAGTTAACTTTTAACTTAAACTTAGTTAATTTTTATATGTTAACTTTAACTTATTTATCTTTTTTCAGTTAAGTTAAAATATTTCATATATATCTTTGCATAATTAACTTTTAACTTTAATAAATTTCATAACTCTAATTTAATTTTAACTCTTAATTAAGTTAGCATTTTATTTATATAAATTTTAACGTAAACTTACTTAATTTATAGGGATCAACTTTTAACTTAACTCAGTTAAAAAGAAATTAACTTATCCAAAAACCACATACAATAGTTGGGGGTGAAATGACATAGGCTCGTATTCTCAACTGATATTCATCGATAAAAGTGCTTTAAATGTAGCTTCTCAACCAACCAGGTGGTTTCTAAGCCACTTTTAGAGACACTTTTATCAATAAAAGTAATTCGAGAATATGGACAATATTGTTCAACGTTACCCAGATATGAAATATGAAATAAAATCGAGCCTAAGAGCTACAGCACAGCAGATTTTAAGGATACTATAATACAAATCTTGATGGTAATACAAATCTTGATTATGTAATGAAAATAGTAATGAAATCCCGATTCCGTCAACTTCGGTTAATCTAATCGACCGATTGACTCAACGGAATTGACCAATCATATGAATCAGTTAGCTAATTGGACAATGCAATTTATTCCAACGACATAGTACTGGGCGGAGCATTGGCCCGAAATCGTATTGACAGACGTAGAAAGAGACAAGATGATGTGTGAGTAGGAGTGGTTTATAAAGCAATGGGACCAATGAGGCATTTACAATTCTATTATCTTAATTAATTTTTTCTTATAACAGTAAGAATATATAAGGATATAAAGATATAAAGAAAAGTTGAAGCGTAAAAATGTTTATAGAGTATATAACGTATATCATATCACTCGTATGTAATAACGTCAAGAATGTTCCCAGCTTTTAAGAATACGACACTGTATCCCCTTCTCCTTCAATCAGATAAAATTCAACCAATGAACCGAGAGTAGAAAGAGAGATCCGTGTTTACACATCTAGCTCTCTCTCTCTTTCTAGGTCTCTCAATACGAAAGATCAAAGAAATCTTGCCGCACGCTCCGTCTGGTGCTTGCGGCATGTCGATGATTCAAGCACAGGCTTACCGCCTTCCAGAGGGCGCCACGAGGCAGGGTATTATGATCCGCATTATGCTCGCAGGGCCCGCAGCGTTCCACTTCGGCACGTAGTGTACAACGGAGCGTAGAATGACGCTGAAAACGCCGTGTGCGTAATTCACATCAAATCGCCGGCGATAGAACTGCCACATGAGTTTATGCGTCCTGCTTCGAAGCTTCGAGTTTCGGAAGTTACGAGGCATTATTCCCGACCGGCGAAGTGCAAATATGCGGATATTCTGAATATTCAAGACTTCCCGAACGCGGAAGTACCACGAGTGTCGTTCGGTTACGGAATTTTTCCATGTGGAAAGTTTTCACCGTCGAACCGGCATTTACGTGATCTGTCAACATTCCCCTTGTTATCTGCGATCTCGATTTGCTTCTTGCGTACCGCCTTGATTCGAAGGCCTGAATCAACGTCGTCGTTGGTACGGTCAGTGTGTATTCTTGCTCGTTAGTTCTGCCATGCCACTGTGTCTTGTTATTTAACAGCTAAATTCAAAAGTCATGACGAACTGGGTGTGAAGTCACTGCATCAAGTCGCTCGATGGTCAGTCGGCAACTTGTACAATTTGTTACACTGTTTTACAAACTCATGGAAATACATTAACAGAACATTTGAGAAATGTCCATTGCCTGTCTCCGCCGAACGAAAGCGACCATCCCGGATGTTCTGTGTAAGTTTCGTTTTATCTTAGCTCCGTCTGAATTCTTCTATCTGGAACGAACCGAAGCACATTTATAGTTTTGTATGTTTTTTTCTTTTTTTTTAATTTTCCGCAACACTGTGCTTTTATTCTGGAATTAAAGTAAAAGTTCGGCCCTTTGAAATACTGTACATCGCAGTGTCTTTTTCTCTATTGTAGATCGCAGGATGAGAACTCGTTCGAAAACATGGTCGACCTCTCGACGGAGATTCAACAAGTATTCTATCTTTCGCAGATCCCTCGCGAATGCGAGAAACCCGAATCAAAGAAAGCACCGAGCGAGGAGCGCAAAGAACAGATCAAACGAGCGCTTCATCTTTTCAAGAGCTCTCGCGAATACGAGAAGCTGAAATCGAAGAGAACACCGAGCGAGGAGCGCAAAGAGCAAATCACTCAAGCTCTGGCGAAAATGACCGCACTTTGTCGACTGCCGCACAATTTTCCCTCGTCCGTTGGTTTCAAGAGATTTATGAATATAGTCGAGCCTGAATATGGCTGTCCGTCCAGCTACACCGTAGTAAAGCGGCTTCAAAGGGCCGAGGACGAAGTGAAGTGCAAAGTGCAGCAGCAACTGGAGACTTGTGAGTTCGTCGCGCTGGACACCGATTGTTGGATATCCCCACCCCAGGATAACCACGTAAATATAAATGTTCACGTGATCAACGAGGAATGGGCGCCACAAACGTTGAACCTGTGTACTGAGGAATTCAGAAGGATACACACCGTCGAGAATCTCGCTGACGGTTTGGAAGTCGTGGCGATGCAGTGGGATCTGTACGGCAAAGTTTCCTGCATCGTCAGCGGCAACGCTGAGAACATGCTGAGGGCTGTCAACTTCAGCGTCGAGTTCACCGTCACGTGTGCCGCGCACAGCATTTCACCTGGCTGTGCAGAACGCCTTGGACAGGAAGGTGCAGAAGGTGCTCAAGAAGGGGAGGAAAATTGTCTTACACTTCCAGGACTCCGTTGTCGCTTCGAACGCTCTTGAGAGCAGGAGCGCTCAGGTCTGCCGAAGTGTAAATTAATCTCGAACGTCAGGACGCGGTGGAACTCGAATTTGCAGATGTTCGAGAGGCTCGTTGAAATTCGCGCCGCCATAACCGCGCTTCTAGCCGATAGGTCGGTAACGACATCCGTGCGGGCTCTCAGTTTGAGTATGAGTAGACGTTACTGGAGGGTCTTGGGATCTCTAATAGGGATCCTGAAGCCCCTGCAAGTAGCGAGCACGGTTTTGCGCGGAGCCCCGCTCTCGATGGTCCGTCCCGTCGTTCGCTCTTTGATCGACAACCATCTCGATGCACACAGTAATATAAATGTACTTCTGCTGATTGTCGCGTTATCGTCGCAGTTCACCGAGCGCTTTCACATGGAGAGGCGCGAGAAAGACCCGGTACTGGTCGCACAGAGAGCCTCTTTCCTCGATCCGAGGCACGAGGACCTCCTTGCCGAGCTTCGCGCTGTAAGAGCGCGCATCAGAGAGGAAGTAAGGAGTGAGATGTATGTACTACCCGTGGAGGATGAAAGTTTCGAAGAGAGTCCGAACAGCAGCCTTGACTATCTCTTCAAGAAACCCGGCTCGTCAAACTTCACGTCCGCTGAGGACCAATTCGATCTTTACCCTGCCGAATCTCAAATTGGCATAAACATGGACCCTTTCCAGTGGTGGAAATATCGCGAGAAGAGGTATCCCCTTGTGGCGAGACTTGCAGAAAAAATACCTGTCCATACCTGCTACATCGGCAACGGTGGAACAAGTTTATTCAACGGCGCACAATATTGTCGAAAGGAATCGCCCGGCCACGGAAAACGAGCTTTAACGAGCGTGTTTCTTTTTAAAACTGAAAAGTGTTTAGTAGAATAAAGCGCACACACGGAATTGGGAGAAAGTTTATCCAGACAGCACAGCGTCTGAAATCAACGGAGTTCGCAAGAGGTTTTCCTTTGTGTTAGTCAATGGTATTGTGTTAGTACATGCCAATGACGTCTTAACACGTTCATCGCCAAGCTGAAAATTGGGATTTCGTGTGGTGGCCAGATTTTTTTTATTTTTTTATTTAGTTTTTATCGTGCTCAAAATAAGTTAATATTTATATGCTTTTATTATTATGTACATAAGATTTATGTACTCTAAATATCTATTATGCGATAACGCGTGATCGGCCGTTTGGTGAGAACTCGCATCACGCGATATCGCGTGATTGGCCATGAACGTGTTAAAGACGTTTTATGATCTGATTTTAAACGTTGTGCTGTCTGTTTAGTAGTCATTTTTATTTGGTAACTTATATATAGGTGCTAAAAAATTACTGTGAAAAGAGAATATCGCAAACAAAAATGTATGTTTCACAAAGTTGATTGTTCTTCTTTTAAACAGAGTTAATGATAGTAGTTTACTTTTTTGAAGAATGTGATTTTTTTTTGCATTGCGTTATGCTGTTACATATCGCTTGGTTCACTTTAAACACACACGATATCTCTATGCTAGAAATAACATATTTCAAAACTGAGTACTGACCACACACAATTACACTACATTGTAATAACTAACTGTTACAGACAAGATAATGATCTCAAACACAGTTCAAAGTGTGTATAAAATTGCTCAGGAAAAATGTTAACGCTAGTACAATAGTCTAATCAAAGTTCAGATTTAAATTCGATTAAATATATATGAAACAAACTAAGTGTTAGAGATAAGTATTAGGAGGTGTTAGAATAAAGAACTTCTTTAATGTATAAACTTGAGGCTACCCATAAGTAATGTCGTTTTTTTCTCAGATTGAATGAGCATTGCCACCTCGTTCGTGAACGTAATTTATCATTACGTGACTTACATACTAATTAAATTTATTGACATTTAATGTGCTTATTGTTAAATTTTGAAAAAACTAAATATTAAGTAGAATAAAATTGTATATTAAGTATCAGAAAACGACATTACTCATGGGTATCCTTAATAAATAAAAGAAAACACAAGAGACTATACTGAAACTTATCGAATTTATGTTCTTTTGTGAATTCGTGGTACAAGTAAATGGTTGTGAAATTAAATATTAAGGATATATCCAGATAGAGACAGAAATTCTGAACATACAGTATGCAAACATTTAATGTACACTTTGTGATGCCATTGCAACACCACATGTTTAAAATATGCTTGTTTTAAGAAATACTCATTTATTACGCCATAATTTCTATCAAAGTACGACTTTTTATTATTACAACAATTTCAGATTGAATATCGCCGTAATCTTGATCTGTATCAAACGATCTTTTATATACTGACGTAATGCTTGTTGTGCGAAGATGTATGCTAGAATGCTAGTCACGATGTGGATAATACACCAAAATATGTCTATTTGAATAATATTAAGATAGACATTATGAAAGCATACTTTGATGTTATGGCTTTTTAGGATATATTGCAAAGTATATTTCGATTTACTCAAGGCTCCTGTGTCCTTGTTTTGGCTGTCGTTGTTTGATGACGTCAGAAGCGAGAAATCGCATGCTAAAATATATCGCGGTATACGTAAAGATAAAATAATACACGCACACTCTTAATCGATTTAGCACACTTGTGAAAAAATTCCTGATATTTTTCCTTTAACCTGAACAATCAGTAAATAGCCGTACAATTAACGTAATAGAAATTCATGAGAAAAGATGAGTTATTAAAAACGCAAGTTTCATGTTACACTAATTCTCGGCTATTTATTGATGTTGAGTTTAAAGAAAAGCGTCCGGACATTTTTACAAATATACCGAATCAATCACGAGTGTTATTTTGTGTATATATTTTTTTATTTCCCCGTGTACCGCAATATTATAATTTAGGCATTGAACTATACAACGTGCTGGAATAATTTTAAGCCTTGAGAAATTGAGCAATCATAATCATTTATTCTCTTCACATTCGACTGTAATCAATTTCGTCTTAAAACACGTATCGTAGACTGACGTTAAGGAAGGCCTGTAAAGTTTGTAAGATAAAAATCATGTCTAAGTATTTCGTTCTCTGTCTTACGAACACGCTATATATAGTCTATATAGGCTGAGATAAGACAAAAATGAACACCAGACAAAGATGGGAATACTATTTAGAATTATTGGGTCTGTTTTCTATTGACACGCTGGTTCTCTTTTTCTTTCTTTCTTGAAATTTGATGGGAGAAAGAGAGAAAGAGAACTAGCGCAGGCCAGTGCATCAATAGAAAACAGACCTTTTGTCTCTCTCTCTCTCTCTCTCTCTTTCTCTCGTTCTCAGCATGAGGTCATCTGGCAGAAGTGCAGTGCTCATTCCAGTTTGTTATACAGTTTAATGATTCTGGCATACAACTTCTCGCTTCTGACGTCATCAAACAAGGATAGTCATAGCGAGGACACAGAAGCCATGATGCCAAAATGCTTATGAACTCGCATAAAAATAAATTATTTTCTATGATATATACATATATATGCAATGTATGCATTGTGCTCATTTTATGTGATATTTAATTCTCATATATATATATATATATATATATAATGTATTTTAAATATAATGTGCAATATATTTATAACTCTTAGTCCATTCTATATAATATTATATATACGAAATAAATTTTGCTCAAAATATATTTTATACAATGTGAGATAAATGTATATTATTGTAAACACAATAAAGTATTTCAGAAAAAATTTATCATCCAAATACTTTTGAGCGTTCCTTTCCTGAGCATATCTTATATATGTATTTTTGAGTTCCATATTACACACATGTGCAGATATTTAGCGTATAATAATAAATACGCTATACATTGTACTGATATATGTGGATTATATTATTTTCTTTTCTTTCAGCCAGAATGCAAGGTGTCTGATGACATGAGATTCACCGCTTACAATCAATATGTACACCGCATGCTTTACAGATGGGGCCCAAATGTGAAAGAACTGATGGCTATCAAGAAATATTTAGCTACCCAAAGTATCACCTTGTCTCACCCACCATGGGTAAGACCATTTTATTTCTCATTGCGAGATATATTGCATAGCTGAAACTTTTCGATATTCTTCGATGATCAAATGTTTCAGATCGGTGGTATGGAAGTCGATTTGCCTCACCTATATCAAACGGTCCAAAGCTTAGGTGGATTGAAGGAGGTCATAGAGAAAAAGAAGTGGCAGAAGGTGGCAGATGGCATGAAGATACCCAAATCCGCGCAAGATCGTGTCACTAAACTAGATGATATTTATTGTAAATATCTGTTACCGTACGACACGTTATCTCCAGGTATCAAGTCGTGAATAATTGTACTTTTAGAAAAATCTTTTCAACACTTGACACGTTATAAATGAGAACAATGTTTATAGAGGAACGTGAGAAACTGTTCAACGAGGTCGAAGAGGAATGGCTGAAGAAGGAAAGCAAAGCCTTGGAACGACAAGAAACGTCGTCCACCGATAACGACGAAGAGGAGGAGGAAGACGAAAGTTCGGACGAGATTGAGGAGTGCATTGTGAAAGTATGATTACGAA